GTCGATACATTTGGTCACATTTGCCAAGTACCTACAACGTAAAATTAGTTTGAAGGAAAAAATTGTGGATAAATAAATTTTCATAGTATAATATAAAGTGCAGAAACAATTATGTTTGGTTTCAATTTTTTGAATTTAATTTAAAAAAAATTAACTTTTTTATTTTTCGTTTTTTTTTTTGTTTTTAGTAAATATTTTTAAATTTTTAAATAATTTTTATATTTTTTTAAATACATCTTATTTAGATGTATTTAAATAATAAAATATTTGTAAAAAAATATTTTAAAAATTAATAAATATACAAAAATATGAAAAATGTACTGAATTTTTATATTTTTTATATTTTTGATATTTATTTTTTAAAGATTGTTTTACAAATATTATATTTTTTAAGTGTATTTATGTTAAATGTGTTTAAAAAATTTAAAAAAAAACAAATTGTTTAAAATATTAAAAAATAATGGAAACAAAAATACAGAAAACAAAAAAATAAAATTTTCTGAAAAGTAAATTCTGAAAATGAAAACCAAACAGAGTGAATAATATCCATACATGCATGCAATACTGATAGATGAAGATATAATTTTCACTATACTTTATTTATCATTTGATTTGGCACAATTATTAATATAATTCATGTGATAAACTTTGGACTATTTTGGGAAGATTGTTAAAAGTCATCTTCCAGCTTTTAATTTATTTTGGGTCACATCATTTCTCACATTTTTTTACATATTTTTGTAAAAAAAAAAAAAAGTCAAAAATCCAGCTTTTAACCATATTCTCAAAATAGGCCTTTGTTAGGTTATCTCTATTTTTCTGGAATTGAATTTTTTATTTTTTCATATTTTTTTTACTTTTAGTTTTAGTTTTAAATATTTTACACTATTTTTTATAGTTTAGATACACCTAATCTATATACACTTAAAAAGTATAATATTTGTGAAAAACACTTCAAAAAATTCACCAAATATAAAAAGTACATAAATATATGAAAATGCAATACGTTTTTGTATTTGGCTGTATTCAATGAATTTTTTAAATATTTTTGTATAAATTTTATACTTTTTAAATATATCAATATTAAGTAGATCTAAAGAGTAAAAAAAAAAAAATTGATTAAAATATTAAAAAATATCACTAAAAATATAAAATTACAAATTGAAAACTCAAAAAATTCTAAACCAAACAAAGTGTTAATATCCAAACTTGGCTTGTGTATAAAGAAAGTAAAATGCTTGTTTTAGACCTTCAATTTTAACAAGCCTCTAATTTTAAAAATCTCTCAATTTTTTAAAAGTATAATTAAGGACATGTAATTTTATCATTTTTCTACCCAAAAAAAAAAAAAAAAAAAAGAGGCCCCCAAAAAAGAGAGGCCCCAATTGTTGTTTTTCAAATCTGATACCACAAGTAATGATAGAAAAGCTCAAGTTCTTCATATTTCTAAGGTTGTATTTGAATTTTTACAGTAGGAATGAGAAAGGAAAAAAATAAAAATAAAAACCAATTTTCACAAATTTCTTAATTTTTATCTTCTAACTAAAATATATTTTGGCAGAAGAGTAACTAACCCGGCATTAATGATTTTGATGTAATGTTTTATTTATTCTTCATTTCACCCCTTATCAAGTTATTTCTTTAAAGTAGTTTTGACCAATTTTACATATACAAAGATATCTTTAGTATTTAATTTCAAAAAATAAAAAATTATTAGATGATGATAGTTTAAAAATATTATCATAATCTCAAATATTGAATTTTTTAAAAAAATTACAACCAGATCAAAGCGTTACAATTGCCGTATTATTATATAAAAAGATTAGATTCTTTTCAAATACATTTAGATTTTATCAATTTTTTGAGATCACACCTACGAGCTCTGTTCGAAATTTGTCTAATCCAAGTGGAGGTAGCACTTTTTGTGAGTTTCAAAATTAGCTGAGATATGCGTAAACTGACCAGGATACTTGATTAAAAAAACAAAAACAAAAACAAAAAGAAAAGAAGAAGTTGCTCCCACAGTCTTGTTTCTAATAACTCAACCCAAGCCCTAACAGAAGGATCCAGGACTCAAATGGGCTGGGCTGGGCTGGCCCTATACCAAACTCGGGCTGAACTTACCTTGCTTAAAAAATAGAGCAAATTACACTGTACTCCTAATATTTTGGTCACTGTGTCATTTTAGTTTATATTATTTTAATTAACTCGATTTTTATCATAAATTTATGATTTTTTTCTCAATTTAGTCTAATTGATTACGATTGTTAGCATTTTTTTATGAAAAATACTCAAATAAGCAACATGTGACATGCTTTTAAAGGCAAAATTATAAACTTTTTCAACTCTGTGAGTTAACTTTAACCAATCCAATGATTATTTTTGGTCAAAAATCCTAACAATTTTACTAATATGACTAAATTGACACAAATTTTAAAATTAATTATCAAAATCAAGTCAATTGAAAATATAGAGACCAAAATGACACCAGCGACAAAAAGTAAGGACTATTAGTGTAATTTGTCTTAAAAAATATTAGAAAGAATTATATAGACCAAAAATAAAGTGCATAGTATAAATTTAAATTTAGTACGATGTGGTATTTTATTTTCAAAGTTTCTTAATTTTTTTTAATGTTTGTAATATAATTTTTTTTTGATAACTTAGTATCCAAATCAGCTTATGCGTACGTTCATTAATCTCGAGACCTTGAAATTAATGACGCGACAAATCACTAATTACTCCTCTTCTTTTTTGTCTTTTTTTTTTTTAAAAAAAAAGATCTCCAATAATTCTTTGATGTGACTCAAACTCGAGATATTAGGTGGTGCTTTGGAAAGTTGATAAAAAATTGACTTTTGATTTTTTTTTAATTTATTTTATTTTTTTGTGAATAAAAAATGTGAGAGTTGATGTGATCCAAAATAAATAAAAAATTAAAAGCTGACTTTTTTTTTTACTTTCCAAAAACTCCTAAATCTTATTCTCAAGTTTTTATCTTAATATGACTTGATAGTCTCACATTACGAAGGTGATATTAATTTTATTTGTTTGTACCACATTAGTTGGTTTAGATTAATTTTACAAAATTATATAATAACATTCATTACATAAGATGTGATTTTGGTATTTTTGTAAAATTGAAATAAAATAGTCTTTTCATTTTCAATTAAATAAGATTCGGAGAGGTTTATAATCCATGAAATTTTTAAACGTCATTTGAATACTCAAGTAAATTGCTTATTGATTTATTAGGCTTATTTTGGGAAGATTGTAAAAAATGACTTTTTGGCTTTTAACCAAGCTTTTGGTTTTTTAGACAAATGATTTGGGAAGTTGGTAAAAAGTGACTTTTGACTTTTTTCATTAATATTTGTTTATAATGTCAAATCATAATGAAATGACCAAAGTATCCCTAGCCAATTGAAATGTGATCCAAAATAAATAAAAAATTAAAAACTGACTTTTTTTTTTTACTTCCCAAAAAACTCCTAAATCTTTATTCTCAAGTTTTTATCTTAATACGACTTGATAGTCTCACATTACGAAGGTGATATTAATTTTATTTGTTTGTACCACATTAGTTGGTTTAGATTAATTTTACAAAATTATATAATAACATTCATTACATAAGTTGTGATTTTGGTATTTTTGTAAAATTGAAATAAAATAGTCTTCTCATTTTCAATTAAATAAGATTCGGAGAGGTTTATAATCCATGAAATTTTTAAACGCCATTTGAATACTCTTAAATTGCTTATTGATTTATTAATCTATCTCTATCAAATCAGTTCTTTATTTTTATGCCCGTCTGCTTATAATAAATAAAAAAAAAGTAAATTATACTTAAAATAATCCTTAATTTCATATATTTTTCTCGATAAAATATGATTTATGTCAAGTCATTGATTACTAATTCAGTCACGCTCACCAAACCGACAATCAAACATGATGCCACATACTTGCTTTTTAGAAAGAATAATATTGGGAATTTAATTAGGTATTTTTATGGTACTCACTTTTTTTTTATCCCGTGATTGAATTAGAGGGTATTATTGAGCTCGTAAGAATTTATTATAGGTTTCGTTTTGATAATCTGAACCGTCAATATGTAAAACTTATTGAATATTATATACTTATAAAAAATCACGTTGATCGAATATCGATAGCTAACGTAATCAAATCAGTTTTGTATAAAAAAAATAGACAGTGAAAAATAAACAGTTGACAGAAATCTGATCCGATGAAATAGTTATCGATATTCGATCAATGTAATTTTTTACAGACATATAGTACTCGGCGAGCTCTACGCATTGAACGGTTTGAATTATTAAAAAGAGACCCATAGTGAGACCCCATGGCCCTAACAACACCATTCAGTCCAATCACGAACTAGAAGGAAGCTAATCCCTATTTATATTTCACCCTAATGACATGGAATGAATTATGTGAAAGAAATTCATATTTCTCATCTCTCTCCTCACTATTTCTCTCTATTCTCTCTTATTTCTATCTTGTTAAAAGTCAAAATGAAAGTGATGCATTAAGAGGATAAGGCACCACACATAAAAAAAAATAAAATAAATAAAAAAATAAAATAAAAAATTAGTACTAATTTGATAATATCATAAGTTATTTATTTTGAATCAAATTATTTTTTTATTTTTTATACGTCTTTTTATAATAAATAATAAAAAAATCAACTTATGACATACTCAAAGCAACCGTTAATTTTGTAACCCTTCAAAACTAAAATAAAATAAACTTCAAAAACATTAGCAAAAAGTCATTTATTTATTTATTTTTCTAGTCGTGAACAAAGAGAGAATCGAAGTATATCCGCTATATTCTTTCCGGGAACACCTGTGTATCTACGTTTTACATGATCCTTCCACATGCACAATTTCCAACCACACGATCAGAAGACAATTGATAAAATCGGATGGTGTAAAACTACTCAACGGTCAACCTTGCGTCCACGTCTGTATAAACCTATGAGTTGCTGTACGCTAATTTTCCTCTTGCTTTGTTGGTTCAAGTGATCATCATCATCAATCAAGAACATAAATAGTTGAAAAACAAAAGCGAAGCTAACCTGCAATTATCTTCAATCACGCCCACACCGTTTTGTGACTTTCTTCGAAAAGGTTCGGTCTTTATTTCGATTTTTATGGAGATTTTGGTGGTTAATTTCTCAAACTAATTCAAGATAGTTTTACTCTCTTGTATTGTTGCTGTGTTTGTGTTTTTTGATTGTTATTGTTGTGAGAAAACAAGTCAAAATCATAAAGTCAAGGTCTTTTATGGATTTCATTATGTGGGGTTATGCTTGTTTGACATTTGTGTTCATTGATGCATAGTTTTGAATAATTCGTTTATAATTTAGAACCATAAATTTAGGGTGAGTCTTGTGTAGATGAGTGGTTTTTGGGTTTTTAAATCCCCCTCAATTGAGTGTGAATTTGTTGAGTTGTGATTTCAGGACAAATGGCAAAAAGTTCCTTCAAGCAAGAACATGTCCTTGGTATTGCATTTGTGCCCTTTTCTTGGCTGTTTTACTTAATGATATGTTGATTCACAATTCCACAGTAGTTTTCTTTTCTGGGTTTTGAATTCTGTGATGCGTTTTGTGTTCAGAAAAGAGACGTGCCGAGGCTGCCAGGATTAGGGAGAAATACCCAGATAGGATCCCGGTGAGAATTAAGCATTTTTCAAGAACCCAATTGTGTGACAATGAATTTGACTTAATTTAGATTCTTCTGGATTTTAATATGCTTGAATTGGCTTCCTTGTAGTTTTTTCAAAATTTTGAGCTATGGTTTTAATTTATTTGGTGACCCTGAGATTGCGATTGGTGACCCTTATTAACTTATAGAACTCTATTTTAAACTTATTTTGTGTCTTGTATTTGTTATTTGTCAGCAAGACAATAGGTGGTGTGTGATAGTTAGATTCTGTAAATCCATGAACTGAAGTGCTAAATGTTGAGGAAGTAAGAGATAGCCACGATTTAGGGCCTAGCAATATTAACCCTTTGAACAATGTAACAACATTTAATGATGTGCATATGGTTGACTATATTTTTGTTGTGCTCATGAAAAGATCCAGTATTAAACGTTGTGTGCCACTTGGTATTGTAATGATGGCTTTGTCTTATGTACACCATAGAAACCTATGGCCTTTTGTTATTGGTAAAAGGTGAGTCCTTAATAAAAATGAAAACTGATAATGAAAGGCTAGTTCGTCTCGTGACAATTTCTATACACAGGTTTAGACTCATTTTAAGTTCTATGCTACTAGCTGGGCTGCTTCTCTTGATATTGTGGATCTACTTGTAAAGCTTGTGACAATCAATAACTAATTTACAGGATGCTTGATTTTGGGCAGAGATAAAGAATATAACATTTTGTGAATGGCAAAATATGCTTTCCATGAGTGTTTCAGAAAGAATCAATCTTTTATTTTCAATGAGATACACAAACCTTGCCGTACATTTTAGGTACATCTAAACTATACTGTGATGTGGATGGACACAAATCACAATAAGAGTTCTAAGTTGGAGGTTTTTTTTTTTTTTTTTTAGATACACCTAATTTAAATTTTTTTTTTTCTTTCCTCTCACTGCTGGGCCAGGGCATGGGAGGGATTCATATGTTACTGTTACTTTCATACGTGGAGGTGTGATGTATGTTCAGATCTCTTCGCATTTCATTCTGTCCTACATTTTGTGAATAAGATTTATTGAAATTCCACTATACTATACATTGTTGGAGTGAAGTCTAAGAAGCACAGGGAGGAACATGGATATGTTGACACGACAATTTTTCAAAAATTCATGACATGACATGGCTGGGATTTTTATATTACAAATACAGAAAATTTTAAGCCTAAACAATTACTTAAGAAACAATTTCAAGTCAAGGAATGGACCAAAGAGGGAATTTTACTTGTTACTATTTCTAGTAACTAGGCTATCCTGTCAAATGTTTTCGGTTTCGGGTTTTGACCATCAGAAAAAGACCAAAACACTATATAACTACATGATTGTTAACCTACTTTGCAGCTTATCGTCAGTTACTCAAGAAGTTCTTACTGGTTGGAAGCTTAAGGGGATTTGAACCATAATCCTGCTCCTCAAGCTTTATATGGATTTTTCACTATTCTTTTGCAAGTTGGCCTTAAGTAGAAGAAACTGTTTTAAGTTGTTCGTTGTTAGATTACACTTGGTCCAATTTTAATGGTCATGATTCTGCATGTGTCACATTTCAAAATATAATTGCAAATATGTTGATTTTTTGCAAGGGTCCCCCTTATAATTTGGTACATTAGTTAATCGAGGAGATCAATTTTATCTGTTTCTTGCTTGGTACAAATTTTCACATATACTTTCTGATTTCAAATCCAACTTTTATGTAACCCTGGTTTTATGATTTGAAGGTGATTGTGGAGAAGGCGGAGAGAAGTGATATTCCCAACATCGATAAGAAAAAGTATGTATTGTTTCTGTACTAATAATATTGGCTCTGGATTCTCTGGTTTCCTTCCCTGTTTACTTGTATCATTTCTTTTTTTCCCATTATGATATTTCCTTCTGTTTATTTCCTACAATCATATGATACAGATTTATCTGTTAAGTTGAACTCTATGAATTGAAAACAGATCTGAGCTGCACGTGCGTCTTCTTCAATCTTCTAGCTTTTAGGCACCACAAATTATTTGTGGCGAAATAGGGGCTATTGCTTGGTGTAGTGGTAAAAGCTCGGGCTATTGTTTATATGGATCCTTATAAAATAAAATAAAGTTTTGTAGTGCCTGTTATAATCAGAACGTCTTGTATCTTTCATATCATATATCATAGATGCGAGAACTTTCATTCTCTTGTGGTAAAAACGGAGTTGTTCTATTTTAACCAATATGCCCGTGAGAAATATCATTTTTCTATTTTAACCAATATGCACATGTGCAGTTAGTGTTACATGTGATTCTTCTTCTAACCTAAATAAGGAAATCACAGGTACCTTGTCCCAGCTGACTTAACAGTAGGACAATTTGTGTATGTGATTCGTAAAAGGATCAAATTGAGTGCGGAGAAGGCAATTTTCATATTTGTGGACAATGTCTTGCCACCAACAGGTTTTGTGATGTTGTTTATTAAGTTTGATGTTCTGATCTGGTCTGTTGTTTCTATTGTTATTCAAAGCTGCTGGGCTTTTTTAGTAACAGGCTTCTGTGCCACTATTCTACTTGTTTTCTGCAGGGGGAATTATGTCTGCCATATATGATGAGAAGAAGGATGAAGACGGTTTCCTATATGTCACTTACAGTGGAGAGAACACATTTGGGGATCAAATTTTACTGTAGCCTTTGGTTACTCAGGCAGTTTCATTGTTTTTTTTCACAATTTCACCGTCTTTCTTTACCACCATCTTCTCCATTGCTTGATATTTCATAGTATCCCGGTTTTTATAGAGACCATGTACAATTGGGGTATAGTTTATAAAAACATATCTAATGTTCAAAAGAATCCCGTGTCACCTTTTAATAAATATATTTGGATTCGACGTTGTTTTCATAATTTTGTTGTCATTTTAATCATAATGAGAAGCAATCCAGTAATGAATTATCCTACCAAGAAATTTTTGTTTTATTGGTTTATTTTGAGGGCGTTACATGGCCCATCTGTTAGTATTTCTTTTGCTGAGGTCGTGAGTTTATGTTCTGTTTCATGGCTGAATAAATCTCGAATGCAACTGTCATGGTAAAATGCTCAAAATCAAGTCATCTTGTCGAGTAATTATTCTATCTTTTGAGAATAGCATGATGACTGCATAGTTATTAATTCAAGACAGGATCATCTGTTTCATTTTTCTCTTATTCTCGTCTCAAATATCTTCTTACGACACGATGAGAACCTTTTATTTCTCTTAACCTCATATCTCAAGCTTCTTTTCACCACACGATTAGAGATACAAAGACTATGGTTATTGAGAGGGGAGATTTGGACCGGACTATACGACCGAGCTACGGTAACACAGGTTGGTCAAATCTCACGGTGCCGAGCTGTGTTCTCAGTTGGCGCGGCCCCCGACCTGTCGTGTACATCCAAAGGGATTGGTCGACCAAACATGGACTGAGGCTTGACCGAGCTATGACTGGGAAGGCATTCGGCTGGACGCGCAGTGATTTGAGGTGACCGAGCTAAAGCAGCCCGGGATAGACTAAAGGCGAGGCGAGAGTCGGCGTGCCTCTAACCCGTCAGCCGAGATGGCCCGGCTTCATATAACCAAGAATGAAGGTAGAACGGGGAAAGGCCGACATGCCTCACAGCCGGTCAACTAGGACTGACCAGTCCTACGCAGCTCGGCCATGAGCATCGCACTCTTGCCCCTTGCCAAGGGACAGGTCGGCGATACATAGCTCGGTTGTGTTGTCTGTGGTGGCAATTCTCCACAAGGGATAGGTCGGTTGCAGTACTCCGGTTGAGTGTGCCACCTGGGCCAATGGCGTGAGGGAGAGGAAATCTGCTCCAAGCACGCGTTAATACCGTTTGGCAGCTCTGCGTGTACTGGTTGGAGGATTAGGCCTTTACACGTGTAAGGTTGTGAGAGGCGAGCACTGCCGCTTGTCCAGGGGAAGACAGCAGAGGTAGTGCGCGCACAATCCTAAGACTGGGTGGCCAGCCTAGAAATAGGAGTGGAAGGTGAACGTTAGAGGTAAGCAACTTGCGCCATCTGAAACACACTCTCTCTCTCTAACGGCCTTCTTCTTCCTCAAGTGATCTGACTTGATCGTCAGAGAGTCTATCCGGCAACCCACCGCCGGGCAGCTCACCGTTTCTTTGTTGCCAGGTTAGACGCCGTCACGTGAAGCTTGAGTCCAAGGAGTATAGAAAGCACTGAATATTTCGCCCCCGTACAATTATCAATTTAGACTATCATGCATTCTCTATCTCATTCGCTTTGTAAGTGTTGTGTCATTTGGGTTTGATCTTGATTTCTCATCATGGTGGATCAATTGGTGGTGTCAGTGGATGAGGATAGGGGGAAGAGAACATGAGAAGTGTTTGTAATGAAAATGTTGGATGAGTTATTGGGTTGTGAGAATACGTATAGGTTGGGTTGTCTATATTTTATTTAGCAAATTGTTTTTGGGCTTTTTATATGTTTTTTACGCCTTAAATTTTCTTGGTTAGAAAGACATTTTTTATTTTGGGATCAAAGAAAAAAGATGCTCTAGGATGTTATTACTGTATCCGTAGGCCTCAAGGTAATTGATTGTCGGCTTAATTTAACCCAACCCAAAGAAAGAAACCTACCACCGAGACACCAACGGAACTCAACCACACGCCACAGCTGTGAAACAATGGAATTCGCCCCCCAAGAATCGAACCTGAGTTAGGTTTGTGGAGAGGCCTTCTCCACTTAGGCCACCACCGTAGTGGTTGGATAGAAAGAATTGAATATGAAATTTTTTGACATAAATTTTAATTTTTTTTACTAAAGATAAATTATTATTTTTTATTATTTATAAAATTACGGTTTTAACATTTGCTTGATAAAATTTAAATTCAGTCAATCATATTATTTTAATTAAATAATAATATATTTATTTATTTACGTATTATATTTAAATTTTTTTATTGTAGAGAAATTATTATTTTTTATTATTTACAAAATGACAGTTTTAACATTTGCCAAATAAAATCTAAATTGAGTCAATCATATTATTTTAATTAAATAATTATTTATTTATTTATTTGCGCATTATATTTAAATGTGTGAACAAAATTATTTCGGCAAATTACAAAAAAAAAAAAAAAAAAAGGGTTAAGGCTATGTTTGGTTGTATTCTCAAGATACAATTCCATCATATCATTTGCGCTTCACATTTGGACACGATTTTGAAATCATAATTCTACCATATCATTCAAAATACATTTGGACTTCCCATTTGGCAGCTTTCTTCTTCATTTCTCCACTGTCAAAAGCTTCCAACGTGTCTTCAGTCTTCTTCATTTCTGAAAAGCCGTCCATTTTCTTCATTTCTTAGAAGGTTCACGTGCAAAAAGAAATTTAAAACTGAACTTCACTACTCGTCTTCCTCTGTTTGAAAGATCACGCCTGATGATTCATCACGGGTCGTGTTCGTTTCTGTGAACTGAGATCATTTTATAAACTATGTCTGGGAACCCCCTTCCTACCCATACCATTTCCCACAAATCAAGTGAGTTACAGTTTGTGCATTGTGGAAGTTTCACTTTCTAGGCAACCAAACAACGACGAGACCGAGGTCAAATAAATCACAAATTTCTCCCAAAATTATTTTTACAGCTCACTGATTTTTTGAAACATCCCCAATTTTATTCCAAATTTATTTGTCACAGGTCAAATTTGTCAAATCTATTTTCGAATTAGACGACTACCAAAGACACGCACATTCACTCACTGTACCCACTCCATCACCGATGACAACTATTCAACTCCCACTGATCTGGTACGTATATCCTTCAATCCATCTGGTATGTAGAAATGGGTTCTGAAATGGTTTTTGAGAAGTCGAAATTGGTTCTGAAATGGTTTTTGATCTGTCTTGAACTGTTTGAACTGTTTAAGTTGAGCAGGTCAACCGCCAGGACAACTAGCCGGTCGTCCTCCTAGTCATCCGGTCGGTCGACTGGCCAGTCAACCGCCGTTCTTTCCCAGCCGAGCTCCACTCACCCCCTTTCATGCTTCTCTTTTTTTGCTTATTTCTAGTTATTTTTTACTGCGTACACTTGTTTCACAAACTTTTTACAGACAATATTATCTGATTTTTATTTTGTATCTATTTTGCCCTTCAATTAATCTGCTTTTCCTAACACTATTTAACAAGTTCAATTGACTAATTTTGATTCGTTCTTAAACATAATTGTAGTTGATTTTTGCATTGTATTTTTTTATATCCACTCCAAAATAGTTTAAATATAAATTGTGTGTTTTTAGATGGATGAAAACAATTCAGATGACAATCAGGATACAAGAATGTGGACTCCCAGAATTGAAATGAAGTTAATAAACATGTTTAGAGAAGAGGTTAAAAAAAAAAATCAAACAGCAGGCCATAGTACTATGTGGACAATTAGGCATTGGAATCATTTTGCAACTTAGTTGCAAAATCTATATGGATTTCGATACACATCAAAATAGGTGCGACAAAAATATCAGCGATTGAAAGTTGATTACCAAACTTTTAAGTGACTGCAGACACAGACTGGTCTGGGATGGGATCCCATTGTAAGAATTGTTGTTGCACTCGATGAATTTTGGGATAAGGTTTTTCATTAACCTGTACCATTTTCAATTTTTTTTTTTTTTTTTTTTTTTTTTGTAACATTTCATCACACATACAATATGCTTATTTACAACATTTTCAATCACTGTAGGCTACAAAAAAATGTAAAGAAATTTAGGACCAAATGATTTGAATATTTTCAAGAAATGACGGAAATTGTTGAAAATTGTTGTGCCATAGGGGCCTTGTCCCGTGCATCCACACAAGAAGCCCTTGACTCAGATGAAGAAGATGAAATGCTTAATAAATTTTGGAGCCCTAAAGCTGGTGGGAGTAATGCTGCTGAAGCCATTCCTGTTGACTTATTCGGCGATGAATACATGGATCCAGCGAAGGGCAAAAGTCATAAGAGGGGCCCTACAAATAGCCAGACTGGCAGTGGTCGTTCTAAAAAGTCATGGTTAAGTGGGTTCAATGATGTCTAAACAGCTTTCACTACCTACGTACAGGCAAAAACAGAACATTCACGTGCACGATCAACTGACATAGAGGCTGTAAGTGCAGGTGGTGATGAGTATTCCTTTGATGCATGTCAAGATGCATTGCTAGAGCTTGGGGACATACCACCGGTCCAGTACGTTAGGGCACTGACACTATTTAAAGACAAGGAATACTCCTATCCATATGCGCCTAGCTATGATCCTAGCTTTGCAGTGAAGTGAGAAATTGTGTTTTGATTGAGTTAGCGATTCTCTTTGTCGTTGTGCAAGATGATTTGATGATTCCTAATTTGTTTTTAATCATTTTTTTTTCATCCCATGATATGCTTTTTTTTATCCATGTTCGTATGTTTATTTTTATTGAATTCTTACACTATTTTTGTTTTACATCAATATGTTGTGTTATTGTTCTGCGTTCTTTCATGTCCGTTTTCTTATGACAAGATGACTACATATTAAACAAATTTTCTTCGCGTGTATATTTTAGTGGATACTGATAAATGACTAAGGCCAACTAAATGTAGCCACTTGTTAATTCAGTTTCACCAATAATGGTAACAGTTAGCATGTTGTCAAACATTATTTTATAATTATGCTTTTAATATGATGTAGCCGAAACAATATGTCATCCGACACAGAAAACAATGCAATGGAGATCTCATCAGTGGAGGATGAGGTTATTGAAGATTTTATGGATTTTTTGATGATTGCATTTATGCATGACCATATGAATGCGTCAAGTAGCAGACGACTGCAGCGAACTTGTCCATTCAAAGGTGATGATTACATCTTTAGTTTATTAAATGGGCATCCAGAAACAATGATGGACATTATGCGAATGGATGCACAAACTTTCATTTTA